CTTGCTACTCTCTGAGCCTGGTGGTTTTCTTGCAGATGTTTCATGACCCAACTAGGTAACATCATCAGTGCAAGAAGGAAGTGGGGTTTTTGCAGTGGACGAAGAGGAAAACGGGAGGAGGAAGAGGAAAAGAGGAGGAGGAGGAGGAGGAGGAGGAAGAAGAAGAAGAAGAAGAAGAGGAGGAGGAGGATGTAGGGTCCTTGATGCTCTCTGAGCTTGTTGTTCTTGCAGACATTTCATTACCCAACTAGGTAACATGATCAGTGCTAAAAGAGAGTGAGTTTGCTTTTTGTTTATATACAAGTGACTATTAGTGTTAGTAGTTCTTGGTGGTTCCTAGATTACATTGTTGTTTACTGTTCATTTGTTCTTCTGGAATTGGGATATTTGTCTAAGGAACTGTAGATGTAGAAAGAGCACCACCAGTAGTCCTCTGTCTCCCGAAGAGTGGTGACCGTTTTCTAGAGGAAACCTAGTCACAAAAGTGTCTTTTTTTGTTTCAGTTGTTACAGGAGAGAAAATGGAAGTAACACAACTTCCGGAAACCGTATCGGTGAAAGCTGGAGACAGCCTCACTCTAAAGTGTACATTGATTGGGGCAAATTTACCCGGAGGCGTGCGGTGGTTCAAAGGGCTGGACAGAAACCAGCCCCCCATTTACAGCGATAAGCAAGGAATTTCCAATCGGGGGGTGAGGCTAGTCCCAGGATCCAACACGGAGTTTAGCATCAATATCCCAAACATCCGTCCTGAAGATGCCGGGACCTACTATTGTGTGAAGTTCAGGGCAGGGTTCCCAGAGAGAGAACTGGCTTGGGGGAAAGGCACGCAGGTCTTCGTAATTGGTAGGTGGCCCACCCATTTGCTTTTTGGGGGTGGGTGGAGATGTTCCCAGTCAACCGAGAGACGTGGGAGTAAATCTCATTTTCTGAAGTTGAGTCTCTCCAACCAAACACAGCCTTGTAGCTTTCTGTATTGTCTCTGAGGGACATCAACTGATATATCTCTCTCTCTACTTTCTCCCTCAGCCAAGCCATCCCAGCCTGTGGTTTGTGGCCCCACAAGAAGAGTCACGGCAGGGTCTCGGGTCGCCTTCAACTGCTCCACAGAGGGATTCTCCCCCCCAGAGATCACAGTCAGCTTGTTGAAGAATGGAAAAGAAATACAGGCTGCCCAGACCAACATCCTGAATTTGGATGGAACAGAGAACATCTCGTACCGAGCAGAGAGCATGGTGGAAATCCTGCTGGAACAAGGAGACGTGAGGTCTCAGCTGACCTGCCAGATCCAACACAGATTGTTGATGGTCCTCTCCAGCAGTCCTTCCCACTCAGTGATGTCCTAAGAGGTAGGAGAGTTCTGGGTTGCAGAGAGGGACCAGGCCATGGAGTCTGGACCTAGTTTAGAAAGACCTTCTGCCTCTGGCTGTTTC